AAGTACATGGCTGGGATAATGTTCACAATAATACGAACAATGTGGTGCCTGTTTAGAGTAAGGGTGTCAACGTTTAGGCAACAGAACGGATTCAACGTGAACGTTATGAATTCGCAGGTTATGCTTGCAAAGCAGAGTTTCCTAAATACAATCTTTGACTTTGTAAACAGGCGACGAATCAAGTGCAGTTGCGCTTAATTAAATCTGCAGCATGCACATGCTAACCCGAGAGCGTTTTGTTTTTGGCAATAAGACTATTTCTCGAACCATATCATGCAACAGCATACTCCTCTTTGCAGTCACTACATTCCCACTATTGGAAGAAGCACGATCCGACGGAATTGAAGTTGCAGCGCAACCGAGCCATTTTCTAGCTAAGCGAGCAATAACAGGAAACGGGCAGCATTTCTACATGATTTACCACCGTAGTTGTTCGATCGTATACGACAGTGTACAGCAGCATTCCAAACAAAACGCGGCCTCAGGGTGGTGGGATAACAACTCTGCTTCCTTCATCCGAGAATACGCTGGAGCTGCCACCAAGCGTGTTACGTGCCAGATCTCCGGGTGATGCGGTTTCTTCATGTGGTAGAGAGCACTCTTAGCTGCCTCATCTTTTCGAGATAAAATCGGAGGCTCCGATTCAAGATCTTCGCCCGGCAGTTCTTTTTTTATGAATGGAACTCGACATTAGTGTTTGATTCTCACGCGAGGCCGGAAGCGGTTGAAGCTCGGTTGAGCGAAGGTTTACGAACAAAATCCGTCAAGTACAACGTTTCACAGCTTTGGGATCAGTTTCGTTCGGTCGCTGACATTATTCAAATAATTTAGTAAGAAGAAAGGGCAGACCTCGATTCGGATAAATCTCTTCGTGTTATGTTGTCTGATAATAATCAACCAGCAACCTAACATTTTGTCCAGCCACACTGAACTTGAACTTGCCGAGCGCAACATCGTCGCCGATAAATCTAGTACATGCAGTTTGTCGGAAGCTATTTCCTCGCGTGATCGTAGACCACACAGTCGCTTCTTAAAAGCAAAAAAAAAAAAAAACACGAAGCTGTTGTCGTATTCATGTTGAAATATTTCATAAACTGGTGAGATTTAGGACAGTCCTACCTATGCTTGCATTGCAGATAGTCTCCAGTTTGATCACATTTGTTAGCCACAATAA